GTTAACTGATGAACAGGTAATAAGAATGTGGTATATTTACACAAGGCACTATTAGCCAGGTGTTAGGAAAGAATTATGAAATTCAAGGCAAATGTATGGAGCTGGAAACAATCATTCCGAGTGAGGTAACCCAGAAAGACAAACGGCAAATAATATCTCTCATTTGAAGATATTAACCTTGAATCTTCATTCATATGTGTTCCATTTGGAATACTCATGGAGGTCAGGAAATTAACAAGGTGGGGATTTCAAGAGGAAGAGAGAACGAAGTCATATAAAAGGTTACAGGGGAAGAGCAGTACAGGGAAGGTTTAATGGGGGGGGAGAATGGGAGGGCAGGGTGGAGGACGGAATGTGGAGAGGGGTAAATAATACTATTTTTCACTTAAAAAAAAACCAAAAACCTACCATGTAAACATATGCATATATAGTTTAAATGGCATTACCTTTTAATAGGACAACAATGCCCCTTACCAGACACCATGGGATTACAAATTAAAAGAGGCCCATTTTCTTTTGGGGGAGGGTGTGGGGCTCGAGGCAGGATTTCTTTGTGTGGCCTTGGCTGTCCTGGAACTATCATTGTGGCTTTGAACTCATGATCCTCCTGCTTCCCCCTCCTCCAGGAAACCCTCCCTGCGTGCACCCCCACAACCGTTAGAGGTCCATTTCCAATGAGAGCGTTTCCCATGGTCTGCTGCTCATTACAAATGGCCGAGCTCAGCAACTAACAAACACTCATATCACGGCCTTATCATCTCACCCTCCTTTTATCTGTCCCCACCAGCCATTTCCCCATCACAGAGGACAATCAACAGATAAGCCACAGTCAACCTGGCTTTCCATGAGCTCCGCTCCCGCTCACACACGCTTGGACTTACCGCTGTTTTCTGCAAGGATGAAGCTTGGAGTCATTTTCTCATTAGTCACAAGGCATTCTCCATACCCCACTGGGCTCATTTGTCTACAAACATCTCCACGCACAGAATCTGGGTCAAGATGTCAATTCTGATTCATCAGCACTACCCCAACACCCCTCCCGAAAACCCCGCCATTGTGTGAGTGGCCCTGAGGGAATTGTGGAGTCTTAGGCTTTGTGACTATAGCATGCTTATAGTCTAAAAACATGGTGTTCACTCTTCCTCCAAAATTCCCTGTACAGAGGCCACACAGCGCACACACCCTAGGGAGAAATAAACACGGAACCATACTTTTCACATGAAGTTCAGGAAGGGGCGGTCAAGCAGTTCCCAGGTATGGTAACAGTCTTTGTGCTCCCCAGTCCACAATGTTACCACAGAGTTTGTGCCACTGGTTTGAAGGGGTTCTTACTGAGCCAGAACGCATTTCTCTGGAACTGGAGAGATGGCTCAGTTGGTGAAAACTTGCCTCTGCAACACAATCCCCCGAGTGTCATGCCCCAAACTACCACAGAAGCCAAGCACAGTGGATCATGCTTGCAGTCCCAGTCCACGGCGAGATGGGAGGGGGAGACAGACGGATCCCTGGAAGTTGGCTGGCAGCTGGCCTTGGTGAAGTCCAAAGCCAACGAGAGATCCTATCTCAAACTGAAAGGGTAAGGTGCTTGAAGACACTCAAGGTTGTCCAATTTTCACATGTGCACGTGTGCGTGCGCACACACACACACACACACACATATGGAGTTTCAGTCGAAATAATACCAGATGGTAAATTGGCTACTCTGTTCAAAGATAGTAGATGTTATCTTTTCTCAGTTGCTCCTGAATGTCTCATGATCTTAACGGTAGAGCTTGGACATCAGGGGTAGTCAGCAAGATTAGCTGGGGGTCCTCATCTGCTTATTCTGCAGAGCAGTTTTCTCCCACTGATGATCTGGTGACACCGTTGTCACCAATTAGCTTAGTAAGTCTATTGGTGCCCCTGCCCGTATCTTCATCATCAGCCAACACTCTCTCCCAATGTGGACGTTTTACTTTAGATAGACATAAAGCCCCAAAGGAACCATCAAAGCAGGAGATAATAACAGAGGCCCCTGTAGCCGCTAAACACAACTGTTTTGTTTAGAGCTGAAGATTACACAAGTAAGATTTGCTTCTTAGAAAGAAATTTGGTCACCCACCAAGTTCAGTTAGTGCTGCCCATTTGCGCATGGGTGTGGTGGTTTCCCGCTAGAACAAGGGAAACCTACCGGTAGCCATATCCTCAAAAGAGAATGACTTTCCCCTCACGGCAACTATCCACGGCTAACAGTTCCTTGGTAAGAGGCATGTCCTCCAAGTCATCCTCATCTATGCTGGGATCCTGGCTGTCTTAATTTTGCGCAGGCTGCTGTGAAGGCGTGACCGCAACAGCCCCGTCTCTTTGACTTCATCTCTCAGTGTGCTTATTCCTAGCCCACTCGAGTCTCACACTGAAGCGGTGTGGATTTCTCTCTTTGACTATTCTACTTTTTAACTCTAGCCACACATTATAATTCTTGTTCTCACGCTCATTTAGTAGTGCAAGTCTCTATGGGAGGACTCATTCTTTCTATGTAACTCATTGAGCATGGGTTGAGCCAACTTGCGCCATCTGCTTTGAGGTCCTTGCTTGCAAGGTCCAACATCCGGCCCACCCTCAAAGACAGTTCTATGACCTACCTCCCCTTTCCCCTCCAGGAATAGATTGTGTTCTTTTTCTTTGAATTTCTCATGATTTTGCCAATTGCTGAATGTTTTAAACAATAAATTAGAGCAACTGTATACACCGACTTTCCCTCTTTCCCCTTAACTCTTAATGCTGCTATATTGTTCGATTGGTCATGAGTTCATTGTTAGTGTTTGGGATGAACTAATTCTTACAAGTCCGTTTTACCTACTATGTGCAGCTTCTAATGTTGCCTGCCGAGATTTTTCTTCCTTGGTCTTTCAGCCCCTTTCCTAGGATTTCGTTGGTAGGAGCAATTTATTGGCAAGCAGTTGTGTTTAGGCCTTGGGCCAATTAGACCTTAATCCTTCAGCGTGGGTCAGGCATGTGGGTGGGAGACTCCTGGGTTTGGTTAGGAGTTCATTCTTCCAGCCTCTCCTGAGAGCAGGCAGCTTCGAGTGTGTGTGCACTGTGTAGGCTTCCAGGCCAGGAAACCAGAGCCATTTCCCCAGTAAGCCTGCTTCCCGACCAATCTCCTCCAAGTCAGAACAGCTTGTTGCTTAGGCCCTGGTCAGTCGGCATCATACATGAGCCTACTAGTCAGTCAGGCTCGTGAGCGTTGCTCAGGGAGCCATGTGTGGTTTAGAGAATTAGTTCAAGTCAGAAATGCTTTTTTACCCCCTGACCTCTCCTGAGCGGGTGGTGCCCACACAGGCAACCTTCCCCAGCTGTCAAAGATGGCTCCAGTTCTAGAAAGCCAGTTGTGGCTGTAGTACTTCCCTGGACTTGTCACTATGCTCCTGTCCTTACATTTCTTGGAGCTGACAATCTCTTCTATATTGCTGCTCACCGTGATGTCTGTTATTCGAAATCCTTGTGTGTGTGTGTGTGTGCGTGCGTGTGTGTGTGTATACATGCCAGGGTGTATGTATGGAGGTCATAGGACAATCTTGGGTGTCCTCTTCTCCAACATTGTTTGACACAAATTCCTTCATCGTCACCTCAGTGCATGCCAGGCTAGCCGGCCCAGAGGTTTCCGGGTATCTCTTGCCTCCACCTCTCATCTTGCCTTGGGAGTGTCTAGATTACAGAGGAGTGCCGTAAAGCACCCAGCTTTAGGTGGGTTCTGGAGATCTGAACCCACTCGTGTGCTCTTCTCATTGGTCTATCTTTCCATCCCAGTATCTCTCATTTTCGGTGACTTCTCCAGCTGCCTTGCCAAGAAAAATATTAGTCAATATGATTCATCGTCCTTACATCCCGTCTTTCTCCATGGCCAGAGCCTATGCACCAGAGCCCACCGGTGATGTCAGTGAAGTCAGCCTGCCTGTCCTGGAGTCTCTTCTACAGGTGAGCCCCAGGCCAGTACTGCCTCTTGATAGGCTCAGGTTTTCCCTATTGCCATGGAAACCTTGCTCGTCAATGAAGCTGTATTCCCACACCCTGGCCTTATGCACCTGCGGCAGATGCCCTACCTTTTCCATGGGAACAGCATGGATGGAACGAGTGTTGCAGGTTGAATTGATAGGTCTGAGCTGACGATGTCATGTTGAAGTCCCCACTTACAGTGCGGGACATGACAGTTTGGGGAAATAGGCTCTTTACAGAGGTGATCAAGTTAAAACAGGGCTGTGTTTGTGGGTCCAGATTCAGTCTGACAGGTATCCCGGTAAAAAGGGGTAATCGGACACAGGGACGGTGCACACAGAGAGAAGGCACAAGAGGGAGTTCACGTGAAGACAGATTGAGGCTTCCACAGGCCAAGGAATGCCGCAGATGACTGGTAGACCATCAAGTACTGGGAGAGGAGAGAATGATTTCCCTAGGTTTCATGGGGGAGGGGGTTCTACGGGCTCCTTCGTTTTGAACTTTTGCCAGCCAGAGCTACAAGGCAGTTCCTTTCTGTCTTTTCAGTCTCCGTTTTGTGGTGCCTCCTTACGGCAGCTCGGGGACTCAGGCTATTCAACACAACTGTCTGCTATTGCATCTCCACAGGCCCGCCCTGGGCTGGAAAGGGCCAGGAATTCTGGCAGTTGGTTCCCTGAAGGAGAAACCAGGAGCCACAGGGAGAAGGAACTCCATCATATTGGCCACACCCACCCAAAGCAGAGTGACTGGGGTGGAATTTGCACATCCTGGGTCCCAGGTGGGCAGGGCAGCTAGGGCTCTAATACCACAGACCCAACAGTTCTCAATTGTACTGACTGGCAGGGTCTCCTCTCCCTGCAGTGTGCTTTTTAGAGACTTTGGGTGGCAGATTCTAATGTACTGTTAAAGGTGTGTTCCACCAGGAAGAGGGTTCACCGTGCTCCCCACATCATCTGAAAGGGCAACAGGCCCTCGTCAATAGCATTTCACTGCCTGATCTGCTCCACAAAACTCCACTTCCCAAGTCTGGTCCGTAGAGACAAAAGGGTTTATTTAATTCAGAGGTGTCAAAAGTTAGTAGAATCCTGGTCCAGAGGCACACCTGCCTCTAGCCTGGAGGCTTGCATCTCATGCCAGCCTCCCTGAAGGTCCTCGTGTTCTTAGAGAGTGTAGGCCTTTTGCTGAGCTCCCCCTTCTTGCCGCAGGGACCCCAGTGACTCAGGGCACCGTGTTGTAGACACTGTAGTTGTCCTTCTGGGTGACGTGTAGCTTCCAGGTGAAGAGGCGCTTCTGGGAGGGGAGGCCTTGGGCCTGTTTCACCATGAGTCCCACATCCTCATCTGACAACAGCCGAACCAGATCCCCTTCGGCATCCTGGTAATTGAGGGCGATGTCCTCTCTCTGGAACTCACGCCTGGGGGAACACACCAGGATTAGTCTGAGGCTCTCGGGGAGAACTTAGGGTCTTGGGTTTACAGAGTGTGGTACTAGCTCATCCAAGGAACCATCCTCCCATTCTTCAGATGGAGAAACTGAGGTATCAAAGAAAAAGGGAGCTTTGTAATCATTAGTGGTGCAGCCTGAAGCAGCTTGCATATGGCAAGGCAGCCCAGGGCGGCCTGTGGGAACCAGCTGAGCTGCAGGAAGACAGCCATGCTTCCACGGGGGTCGTGGGAACAAGATCTAAACTGACTTCCCATGTACCATTTGACCTAACAGACATGTTTAATCATCTTGCAGAACTGCTATCTTGTGATGACAGTTCTTGAAAATTATCCCCAGAAAATAATGAGACGGTGTATTCATCAAGGACAATATCGTGGACAGCAGCAACATCCAGGGGGACATTGTGTGTGTGTTCGTCTGTTTGTGTGTCTGTGTATGCTTGCTTTGGGTATTTGTGTGTGCATATGTTTGTGTTACAGGTATCGATGTATATTTATGCTTACTTGTGTTTTTGTATGACTGTTTCGTGTCTGTGTTTGTGTTGTGTATATTGTGCATCTGTGTATGTTTGTGTATGTCTGTATGTACTGTGTGTTTGGGCTTGTTTGTTATATGTGGTAGGTGTGTATACGGTTTTGTGTGTTTGTGTGTGGCTTTTTTGTGTGTTTATGTGTATATGTGTGTGGGGGTACGTGTGTGTGCATGTACTGAAGGGATCTGAGCACCCAGCAGAAAACAAGAGAAGTGAAATATGGTATGGTTACAGACACTACATTCTCATTACAAGCTGCATTGCTTTTATCGTAAGAGATGGGGCAGTGCTTGATGGCTCTACAAAATAACAGTCCAGCAATGGCCTGGACCACGGGGTGCTGGTGATTTCCCCAGCGGGAGGCTGTGCCTAACTTCAAGGCTTTCAGCTAGAGACATGCGTTCTATCAGCAGATCTGCAGTCACACACTATGACCTCAGCTGAGTCCTTGGTGCTCTGCAGCCTGCTCAACTCTTCTCTAAAGGCACTGTGGACTGCAGGGGCTGCAGGGGCTGCAGGGGCTGGAGGCGGGGGCTGCAGGGGCTGGAGGCGGGGGCTGCAGGGGCTGGAGCTGGCACAGGTGGTAGCCTCCCCCCAACCCCATTCTCCTCCCCAGGCTCTCTTCCTTCTTTCCCACCCAGCCTCTCACCTCATGAGTGCCAGCAGGTCTTTGAACAAAGGGGTGCTGTTGAGGTCTTCCTCCACTGCGATGTCCCTAAGGTAGACAGTAGAAGAGAGGAAGCATGAGGGTGTGTGTGGCAGGGAGCACGCTTGGGGGCCAGGAACAAACAATTGCTATAGCTTGTTATACTGCTGGGGTGTATCTGGGAGGCAATGGGAGCCACATCAGCTGGACGGGCGGGGGTGGGGTGGGGACACACAACACCAGAGCATTGACTGGGAGAGAGTGGGGTGATGGGGGTGGCAAGGAAGGCGAGCTGTCCTGTTCTCCCAGCAGGGACACCAACTTGATGGTTTTGATTGTGTCCTCATAGTAGTAGCAGCGCAGCCAGTTAGTGGTGTCGTCCTCCTCAGGGAAGTCCTTGAGGATCTTCACGAAGGAGCCTGGGAAGATGCCGGTGGCTCCCTGGGCTGTACCCTGTGGGGGAAAAGGAGCTGCCTCATCTGGAAGAGAAATCTAGGGCCCCACACTCTATAAAAACAAGGTCCCTAGATTGTTCCCCAAAGCCCACGTGTCAAAGACTTGGTCCTCAGGGTGGCTCTGCTGGGGGTTGTGGGAGCTTGGAGAACAAGTCCTAGAGGAAGTGCCTTCCGTCACTAGGGAGAGGGTTCCCTTAACGGGGTAGTGGAGGCCTGGTCCTTTCCTCTTTCTGCTCTTTATTTAACTGCTTATTTATTTGATTTGTCTTTCCTCCTGACCGTAATGCCAGGGTTTTGCACTCTCACACGCTTCTGTCATGATGAGTAGCCTCGGCACAGGGTCACTTGGTAAAGAAATGGAAACTCCCGGATAGTGAGTCATCGCAAACCTTTTCTCTTCATAAGCTAGTTGCCTTGAGTGTTTTGTTATCGTGACCAAAGCTGACTAACTCAGAGGGAAAAAAAGTGAGGAGAATCACCAAGCTGCCCACCCCTGAAGATAGCACTTCAGTTATAGAGAAAGCTCTGAATTTATCTGGAAAGTTGTACACCCCTGCCTCTCTCCCCCTCCCTTCTTCCTCTTCTCTGTCCCTCCCTCCCTTCCTCATTCTTTCCTTCAGCTAAGATTTTGAGCACCATTATGTCCAAGCTCTGGGCTCTGGAGTTACATAAACACTATTCCTTAATATAACACTCCTGAGAGCACAGAATGTGAACACGCATGCTCTCTGGCAGATAGCCACACATGTAAAGGAGGAAATTAGGAAAGGGGAAGAATGTGGGGGTACAGAGAAGCTTGGAAGTGCTTCCTGCTCCTTCTCATTCCCTGAGTGTCTCCCAGAAGCTTGGGTCTGTCCCCTAAGGGCAGGACCAGGACCCCTACCCTGTCTCTGTATCGCTCATATCTCTTAACCTTCATGACCATGAGACAAAAGATGCATTCTTTTCTGTGTAGATGTATGTGTGCATGTGTATTTATAGGTGTGTGCATGTGTACATTCATGCATATTCATGTATATATGCATGTGCACATGAGTGTGTACATGCATATTCATGTATATGTGTATTTATATGAGTATATTCATGTGTGCATATGCATGCATATGTGTGTTTAAGTGAGTGTGCATGATATGCATGTGTGTACATGTGCATGCATATGTGTATTTATGAGTGTGTGCATATGTATATGCGTATATATATAGTATGTGCATTCATATGTATTGTGTACACATGCATGTATATGTATTATATGAGTGTGTGTATATGTGCATGCATGCATATGCATGTATATGTATATTTCTATAGTATGTGCATGCACATGTATTGTGTGCATGTGCATGCATATATGTATTTATATGAATGTGTGCATGTATGCATATGTACATATGCATGTGTGTATATGAGTATTACATGTATATGCACATGTGTGTACATATATAGGCTAGAGGATAACTTCAGATTCCATTTCTCAGGCTCTAACTATATTTTTTCTCTTTTTGAAACAGAGTCTCTCACAGATCTGGGACTCTTCTGTGGAGCCATCCCTGGGTAGGTAGTCCTGTGTTGTGTAAGAAAGCAGGGGGAACAAGCCATGGGGAGCAAGCCAGTACACAGCACCCCTCCATGGCCTCTGCATCCTCTCTTGCCTCCAGCTTCCTGTCCTGACTTCACTCAGGGATAGAGTGTGACTTGGAATGTCCTCCCCAAGTTGCCTTTGGTCATGGTGTTTATCACAGCAGTGGAGAGCTAACTAGAACACAGCCATGGCTGGTCTGACCGGCCAGCAAGCCCCAGAGATCCACCTGCCTCTGCCTTCCCAGAGCTGGATGATAAGCCTTTTTAATGTGGGTCCTAGGGATTGAGCTCAGATCCTCTTTGCTGCCTGAGCTCACATCCTCTCCATGCCATCACACAGAACTATGAACTGAGGTTCCTATTCCTGCAGCCTGAGATCTGATGGTGATCGCGATCCAGTCAGTAAGACTTTCCAGAAAACTGGACCAGGTCTATAGTCCCTCTTACAACAGGATCAACACAGCAGTAGCTAGGGTGGACAAAGATGCTGCAGGCTTCTGAGACCCAGAGCATGAAGAAGCAGAGCTCAAACAGCCCAGTCCCTACACCTGCCACACTCACTCCTCTCCAGCCCCAGGATACCAGGGACCCTGCTTCAGCCCGTCCCAGAGCCTCCTTCCAACACCGAGGGGCATAGTGTCCACTAGCAACAATATTATCTGAAGGAGAAAGCCAGGTCCAGGTCAGCTACTTCCTATCAGTGTGGAGCAAAGTGACACCTGGGGGTCCCAGCTTCAGGGTCTCACTCAAGTCGTCCTAGTACCCTCACTTGCACTGGGAACAAGGCATCCAGACTCTCTGGGGGCGAGCCAGGACGACATCCGCCTCTCCCTTATCCCTGCCAGGAACTGATGAGGAAACAGTGCTTTCGTCATTTACAGGAAAGGAAACCATGGGTTGAGCAACCTCCTGAGGTACAAGAGGCCAGCTAAAAACAGCGAACAGTCCAGACACACTAGTAAAATACTCCGTTCTGTTGTTGTTTGGCAGTACGGTGGGTGGGACCCAGGACCTTGCACACTGGGCAAGTGCTCCCCGTTAAGCTGCCTCAGGCATGGATGCCCACTCTTTTTTTATTTTTTTTTAAGATTTATTTTTATGTGCATTGATGTCTGTGTGAGGGTGCCAGGTCCGCTGGAACTGGAATTACAGACAATTGTGAGCTGTCTTGTGGGTGCTGGGAATTGAACCCCGGTTTTCTGGAAGAGTAGTCAATGCTCTTGACTGCTGAGCCAACTCTCCAGCCCCAAGGTCACCCACTCTTATTTACAGCCATTCTTGCTACTGGCTAGGGAAGTAACATTGTCATATATGATCCCCCACATCTCTCAATGGGGGAAACTCTGACCCCCAAAGCAAACATGGAGAGACCTCTGTAGTGGTTGTGACCACTGCCAGCACCTAGCAGGAAGAACATGAAGCTGCTGAATGCCCTGCACTGTATCGAATAGCCCACCCTCCCCCAGGAGTTACCAGTCCCCCAAAACCAAGAGTGCCAAGACGCCTTATTAGTGATCAAGAAACTAAAATAGGGTAGCTACAAAATGGCTTGTGGAGTAAAGAGGCTTGCAGCTAAGCCGGTCCACCTAAATTCCACCTCTGGGATTGCTTCTGGTGGAAGGAGAGCACCAACTCCTGAAAGCTGTCCTCTGACTTCAACACACGCTATGGGGAATGTTCTGCTTCATCGACACATGTGGCTCTATGACACCTGTGACTCACGGTCACCCAAACCTCAGGGACCTCAGGGACTGCTTCAAAGACTTCCACCCCTGGGCTTCCCAAGATATTCTCCATGGTGTTACCTGTGCACCACACCCAAACTACCCCACCCCACCCTTCTTCCATCCTCACCTCTGCCTTTGCCTCATCCCTTACCCTCACCTCCATCCTCACTCCATCCTCACCCCATTCTCACCCATCCTCACCTCCATCCTCACCTCCATCCTCACTCCATCCTCACCCCATCCTCACCCATCTTCATCTCCATCCTCACCCCATCCTCACCTCCATCCTCACCCCATCCTCACCCATCTTCATCTCCATCCTCACCTCCATCCTCACCTCCATCCTCACCCCATCCTCACCTCTATCCTCACCCCATCCTCACATCTAACTTCACATCCATCTCTCTCCGCCGTCACCTCCACCCCCTTCAGTCTCCTCTCCACCTGTTCTCCACTCTCACTTCACTTTCACCCTCTCTTTCACCACCTCATCTCTTTACTCTCTGACATCACCACCATCTCTCCTCTAGCTTCGGTTCATCTTACGGACTCTGGCCTCATCTCCATCTCACCTCCAGCCAGTCTTTGTTGATTCTGCTGAGAAGGAAGATCACGTCTCCAGCTTTGAAACTTAGCTCCAGTTTGCTGTTCCCAGTAAAGTCAAACAGGGCCTGGGGAGAAGGACACCATGCTGAGAGGGAGAAGATACTGGTTGAGCCCTTGAAGACCTACAGCAACTTTGGCGTCCATTTTACAGGTATGGAAACTGAGGGTTTGAAAAGATGCTGATACAGCCCTCTGTTCATGGAGGATCACAGATTGGAGCCCCCGTCTCCCCAACTACCAAGCAGGTGGTCCTTTCAGAGCTGGTAGGGTTCACATACAGGGGGAGGGTCCAAACTCTGAGTCAGGCTTGTCTGGCTGCACTGCCCACATGGACTTTGAAATGCCATGCGTGTGTTTCTGGAGCTATGTGCATCCAGAGGACAAGGCCTTGTCTGAGGCCTCGGTGCGTAGGCATGGCTGACCCAAGAATCCCAGCAAGCTCTCTGGGATGAACTGAATGGCCACCTAGTCCCCTGCTTCAGCGTGCTGGGCACTTCCCTGCCCTCAGCTAGACAGGGATGTTCAGCATCCCAGACTGAGACTGTGGCCCCTCCTTCTTGCCGGGTACCCAGCACCATGCAAATGCACAGTGGCACACAGCAGGCGGACCCCACAAATGCCTTGGATGAGGTCTAGCCTGTGGATACCTCTGCTTTCGGCGCTTCCATGCGGTCCATGCGGGCGCCTTGTGGAGACACACCCTTGCTATGGAAAGAAAAGGGGCTGTCAGTCAGTCTTGTGGATCCCCCCAGGGCCCAGCTCCTGGGTTGGAGAGGCTGGGAAAGAAAGATGCACAGCCACCAGTCACATCTGCTCCCATAGCCAGCCCCTCCTCCTGTATTCCCACTGCTGCCTCAGGTGAGGTTGTTCTCCTACAGAAGCCCAGGAGACAGAGCTTGGAGAAGGGTTGGAGAGGAGGTCGTGGCTCCTCCAAGCCTTTAACTCTCCACCTGTCCTCAGCTTGGCTCTTAGAGCCGACCTCTCTCACTATGTTACTATTCCATTTCAGCCAAGGAAACTGAGGCTGCGGGGGAGGTGCCTGCGTGGCTGGAATTCAGACCATGCCTTCCTAGATGCACAGGGAGGTGACTGGGGCGAAAGAGAATTTGGGGCAGGTCAGGGCTCAGGAACCCTGCCAAATTTTCCTTGGCTCCTCAAAGAAGTGGCTGGTTCAGAAACCAAAGCCCTTCCCCTATTGTGGTGCCCGGTTATTTTTTCTGTGAGGGACAGGGTGGAGGGGAGAGAGCTTGGGACCCTTAGAAACAAGGAGCAGCAGCGACCCCTGGGGGCTAGAGACGGGACTCAGTTTGCTGGCTCAGAGGTGGTGCGGTGATAGCAGCCTACATTTTGCGCGTGCGCGGTCGGAGCCTGCGGAGCGCCTGAGGCACCTGCTCTGCATCATAGGCAGACTGATAAAAGAAGATCCTGACGTCGGGGTCCATCAGCACGCAGACCGGCAGGCTCAGGAGGTTCTGTGTGGAGAGGGGCAGGACAGGGTGGGCAGAAAGTCGACAGAAAGATCTAGGCAGTCCTGTCACAATGCCAGCCCCATCTACCCATCTCTGCTAACGCATTCTCAGCTGGTAATAAAAATGAGTTACTAGCCCTCAGAAGCTGGAGGAGACAATTTCCAAGCCTGCTTCTGGCCCAGGATGGGCAGGAGAGCGGTGCCGGCTTGATAGTTCATTTGGAATCATCTAAAGGTCTCCAGAGACAGTGATTAAGAGGACTGTGTTTGCCAGGAACTTATCCCCTAATAACCTGGAAGCTAGGATCAGAGAGGGAAATGATCTACCCAAGGCCACACAGCTTAGTAACAGAGCTGGGGCACCCAGAGCCACTGGTGGTGCTTGAGTAGGGTCTCCCTGTGGCCCAGGCTGGTCTCAAACTTGCTATGCAACTGGGAATGACCTGGAACTTCTGATCACGCCTCCTAAGTGTTGGGATCATATGTGTGGGCCACCACACTCACTTTATTTGGTACAGGGGATCAAACCCAAGACTTCTCGAATGCTAGGCAAGCAGTCTACTTACTAAGTCATAAAGGTCAGTGCTAGGCCCGGGTCGGGGTGGGGGTCAGATTTGGAAGTGATTGGGACCGGGGACCTGTAGGTTGATGCCCACGCCTCTTTCCACCCTGTGCACACACACTGTGGCTAAGCTATGAAGGCATGGGGCAGGGGAGCCTGACATGGCTACTCATCTAGCCTCATGGGGCTCGGGTACCCTGCAGAGCTGAGGCCAGTTTGGGGGAGCTACCGTTCCAGAGAAACCCAGAGTCCTGTGGAAAATCTCTCAGGACCACAGTCTAGAAGCAGATTCACAGCTCTAAAAACACCTCCCCCTCATTTTCTCCACAGACTCCAGCTTCACCCAGTGAGAGCAGAAGGCCCCTCCATTTCACAAAGAGAAAGTCAAGGCCTCTTGAAGGAGGGTGAGGATGTCTCACTCACTCCAAGGCACCCATCCCAACATAAGTCTCCAAATCAAGAGCTTTCCAAATAGAGGTCATTCCCAGTTACATAGCAAGTTTGAGGCCAGCCTGGGCCACAGGGAGACCCTACACAAGCATCTCAGTGGCTCTGGGTGTCCCAGTTACTAAGCTGTGTAGCGTTGGGTAGATCATTTTCCTCTCTGATTCTAGCTCCTGGGTTATTATAGGATAAGTTCCTGACAAAGCCAGTCCCCCTAATCACTGTCTCTAGAAAGTCACCTCTGGACACCAAGGAAAGCTTTCCTACAAGCCATGGCTTGGATGCTCACTGCCTTGCCAGGAGCACCGGTCCTTCCCTGTACAGTCACAAATGGGAGGGTGTCCCTTCCTGGCCACCCTGCCCTCTGCCTCTGACACCGTTTCTTCTGTGTCTCCATGGCATAGAAAGCTGACAGTGTGCATAGTGGGAACACAGAACACCCAGCCGAGGACAGTGAGTGTAGCCAAATGCAGCTGCACACAGGTGAAGAGGTATGAGCTCAAAGGTGCCCTTCTCTGGCCTGTGGGAGGGGATGTGTTCTGCTGTTCTGGCCCATGGTGCAGGCGTGAGACACCTCTGTGTGGTTTGGGGGTTTTGCTCCCACTGTCCCCACTGGGCAGCAGGTGCCCTGGGGGACAGACACTGTGTTCCAGAGCTTGGAACACTCAAGGATTTGTCAAGTGTGACTCCTTGTGACCCAGCTCCTGGATCCCTGAGAACATACCCTGCTTCTCTTTCCAGTCAGGCTTCTCAGGATTGAAGATAGGGCCATGGGAGCCTCAAGGAAAGCCCAGTTCTCAAATCCATACCCCAAGGATCTATCTAGCCCCCAGTGTTCCATTCTGGATCAAGCACCAAGAGGACATGGCAGTAGGTACATACCTTCATGTAGGCGTTCAGGGCAGGGATCCGGGCCTCAGCAATCTCCTGCTTCACACCCATGTAGACTTTGGCTGAGGAGAGAAAAGCTTCCCAGAGCCTGGACCACACGGTGCCTGCCCTTCAACTGCCCCTCCAGCAGATAACTGCCCAGCATCCCTCTCCCCAGTTTAAAGCTCTTCCTGCCTTTGCCATGGAACCAGGGCATCACTATGACACTCTCTAAATTCATCTTCTAATCACATCATTGCTAGAAGAGAGAGGAAATTCTCTATGTCATACCTATTCCCCCACACAAAGGTGTGTACATGCATACACCCTCTCCACATGTGTTGATGTACACACATACACATTCAGCACAAAGTACACACTGTACACACCCATGCAAAGCTCAAACGTACACAAACTACATATACATACCCTCACATAGACACATGCATTCACACTCACGCACATGAACACACCTATATATTTACATGAGCACACGTGCACTCAAATGTACCCACATGAATTTACATACACAATAATATGTGCACATACCATAGACATATATTGCATTCAGGAACGTGTGAATACATACATACATGCATGAATATAAACATACACAACATACCCACATGCACATGTGTGCACACATATACATATATGCAAATACTAACGTAAGGTCTATGTGCACATGCTCATGCACATTTACACACTTATGCACACAGATGCAATATATTTTTACATACAAATGTATGAGCACACACATAAAATATTCTTTAGCAGATGCACATGTATGTATTCACACACACTCACAAGCCTTAGCTTGGAGCATGGGATCTCTGCCTGTCCTGTTCACTGTGGTCTCCCATCCTCAGACTTGGATAATGTTTAGGTCACCACATGAGTTTTCAAGCACCTCACCAAGTAGGGGTTCCCAGAGCCCTAAGGTCCCTTTCAGTGGGCTGCCATAATTAGAAACCATGGCCCCATACCCCACTACACATACTGACACTGCAGAGGACAAAGTATCTCCTGGGTGGACGAATGAGCCAAGTACCAAATGCAAGGAGGGGTGTTCTGGGAAAGAGGAAGCAGGTGATGTCCTACCAAGTGATAAGTGTCCTCCAAGAGCCCTTAGGCAGGCACTTGGGGGAGTTGCCACCCAGAGGGCCGCCCCAGAAGGCAATCCTGTCCAACCCCTGTGCCACAGGACAGGCAGGCTGGGTGCCTGTGGTGCCAGAAAGGAAGTATATAAAGGTTGGGGCTAGACAGGAGCCATGAACTAGAAAGTGGCAAAGTCTCAGGCCCCAGCTGGCTTGCCAGAGTGGATGTCCAGTCTGAGAAGACAAGACGGGACCAGGATGTTGGGGAGGGTGCCCTGCTCCTAGGGTGGTCGGGAGAACATAGTGTACACAAGGGTAAACAGGAATCAGAAAGGCAGGAGGGGAACTTCAGATGAAGGAGGTCTAATGGAGGAAGCACAAAGGGGACCCTCAGCAGCTTCCGGACAGGACATCAGACAGGAACCACAGGACTCCTCCTGAGGTAAGTGTTGGTGGGGTGGGAGGAGCCGAAACCAGAGCAGACACAAGGGTGAGACCCTGCGCCTGCAGGAGAAGAGTCACTGCAAAAGGAAGGAAAGCAGGATCTGTTAGAGACCTGGGACAGGAGGCCCAGAAGAGATGTTCCCCATAGGGAGGCTTCCTAATAACTCAGCAGCTGGTGGGGGGAGGGAGCCTATGCAGATGCATAGGAGGGGGCAGTGTGTCAAAGAAACAGAAAGTATGTGGGGAGGAGAGAGGTGTTAGCTGGAATGGTAGAGGCCCCTCCTCACCACTTACAAGTGGGAGAGGGAGGGACCGGGATGGGAGGGCTCTTGCCTCTCAGCCCTGTGTCCTTGTTGGAGATGGATGAAGAGAATAAGGTTCTTTCTAGAGTAGTGGGCAGTGCACACATGGGAGGCGGGTTGGAAAAAGGGAAGAGGGGCAGGCCTCTGAGGCTTAGTAAAGGGGTAAGGGATAGGACAGAGACTGCCTCTAAGGAGTTGCTTGGCAGGCTCAGGCAGGCACTGGAGATTTGGAATAAGGTGAGGTATGTGAGGAGGCCCGAGAGGTCAGGGGTGGGGCTGGAGACTATTTGTACTCAGAACTATGTGGTACCCTGCTTCCTCAAAGGACAGGGAAGGAGCCATTGGATCTGTAGAGGCTGAAACCATTCAGCTAGAGAGCTCACCTCGTGGGTGACTGAGAGAGACAGGAAAGACCAGAACCCTGGTGCTGAGCGCTCCCAACCCAGGCTCCCAGCAGGTGGACGACTGTGACAAGCTGGCTGTCCTGGCCACCAGAAGCCAAAGATGATGAAGCAGAAGCTCTAATAGTGAAGGTACTTGGAAGAGAGAGAGTTGGCAGTGTGGGGGGAACACATATACAGAGGTGGCAGAGAGGGGGCTGCTGGGAGACACATCCAGCCTGGGGCTACAGGAGGACCACTGGCCAAGTGAGTAACTTGTAAAAGGATTTGAAATGACATTCTGCAGAGCTGGAAGGTGAAGCGGGGACCAGGGTTAGCTCGGAGGCATCAGGGCGGAGTACGGCCTACCTGGTAGCGTGGGCAGGCTGCAGGTAAATGGGCTGCTCTTGCTCTCTGGCCCAAACCGCTCCTCCAGCTTGCTCTGCAGGGCATAGAACTGACGATAGCGGCGGTAGATGAGGTACTTGGATCCCCCTTTCGTCTTCACTTCAATGACAAAAACCTGAGGAGGAGAGAGTGTGTGGGTGGGGGGAAGAGGTGGGGGGCGGGGCAGTTGTGGATGTTGTAGATGGGTAGGGAGTTGGGGGAGGGTCTGGGAGGCTGGGGGGGGTTATGAGTTGAGTGAGCTGGGAGATGGAGGTGTCTAGAAGGTAGAGAGTCCCTGGAGAGGGGCTGGGAGATGGACCGGCTGGGGAGGTCAGAGGACCAGAAGGTAGAGGGACTGGGATACAAGGGAGGACAAGAGAGCCCAGAGCTAGGCACAGGGCACTGAAGTAGGGAGGACCCAGAGACAGGCACAGAACCCGGGAGGTCAGGGCAAAAGCTATCAGGCACAGGATGAGGTTAGAGGTCACAGAGAGAGAACAGGCTTTCTCAAGCCCTGCACTGTATTAGATGGGGTAAGCTTCATTGGGAGTGTTCCATGTGCTTGGATGTGTTCAGAAGCACCCCTACATTCTATTCAGCATGTGTTGACAATCAACCTGTCTAGAAAAACCAAGTTGATAGTCAGGGTGTCACAGAGAATTGCCAGGTGTTTCAAAGAAAAAAGCGGTCCTACTGAGACAGGAGACAAAAGGTGGAGGGTCAGAGGTTAGAGGGCAAAGGAGGGCAGAGGTTAGAGGGCTGGCTCTTACAAAGTGGCTGGTGAAGCCCCTCTTCTCCTCGATGTCAGCGATGTTGGCGGAGATGGCCACGTCATCAGGAAGCTGCTCAAAGTCACTGGAGGAGGCCAGAGGGAGGGCACCAGTTACCACTTTTGTCTGTTCTGGGCAAAGCTGGTAGAGCCCCACACTCATTCTGCACCCTGTCCATGCCCAGCACCTCACTGATGCTGGGAACCCAGAGACATCAGGACACAGGTCAAGCTCTGAGCATGAGGGACACAATCTGGAGTCGGACGCCACAGCCAGCTTCTTGCCCAGCCAACCACTCAGCAGCTTCATTGCCCACCAAAGAGCCTGGCCCCTCTGCGGCAGCCTTGAGCTAGGCTCTGCATGACAGGATGAAGAGTGTGCTGGGGTGTCTGAAGGTGTATGAATGTCTCTCACAGGCCACAGTTAAAGACTTAGTCCCCAGGGTGTCCACAGGTAAGTGCTGCGGATCTCTAGGAAGGTGGAACCTCATGGAAGGTCCTTGGGTTCCCAGGGCTTGCTTTGAGGAGGACCAAGGGACCATGTTCATCTCTAGCCCCTCTCCTTGCATCTGATTCCAGATGCAAGCAGTTCCCTTTGCCTTGTACCCTTGCTCCAATTTGCTACCATCGCCAGAGGCCCAAGGCAAAGGGACTGTCCCACTTTTGACTGGGATCTATAGAACTATGGACCCAAATAAGACTTTGTACTCCATATATTGATCTGGTGTGTTGTTATGGTAACATGAGGTTGACTGATGGAAAACCCCACTTATCCCCAGTCAAGAGAACAGTTGATTATATCTAAGCAAAGAAAAAAACGGCACCTGAGCCAGATCTAAGTGGGTTAACTGGAATTCCCTGGAAACTAGGGAGGTTCTAGGCAGTGGAAAAAGCCTACACTCAGGTTCTGAGCCCCAAGGAAGAGCCTGGTGGGCCCTGAGGTGGGTAAGTTACTGAGGGTCTTGGGAGCAGGGAACGGGGTGGGCTTCAGTAAAGCCTGGTTTCAGGAGTTCACCAAGGGCAGTCAGTTACGTGGATAGAAAAGGAGGGGCAGAGACTGAATGAGACAAAGTCACAGGATGCCCCAAGAGTGAGGAGTCATATGGGACAAGACACACAAAAGATAAGACCCCAGAAGATGCTGTTAGCATTTTGTGTGTCCCTGTTCTCTCCTGGCCAATCAAGTGCCAGCCATGCTCGGCTCTGAGGGTGCCCAGCTTGGAGAGGCAGTATGTCATGATTGGCCTGACCCAAACAGCAATCCTGTTCCCACCTGCCCTTGAGGCCCAAAGCAACCAGGTGACTAGCTCGGTCAGTGAAATGGGATGGGGTGGGGGAACACCTGGATCTGTAGCAACCACAGTGTGCCCATGAGACAAAAACACAATGCACAAAGAAAGAATCCAGGGTGGCGGTGTGGAGCTCCCTGCGCTACAGAGTTAGACAGCCTTCCTCTGGACTTCTGCGAAGGAAGAAAGAACAGTTCAAGTCAAGACCAGTTCCTCTTTGCCCTGCAGCCTAATGAGTTTCCAAAAGGACCTTTGACCAAGGTATGGTGGCACAGCTGGACTGAAAGAAAGGGGCGTGACAAGAATGCTGCCTGCTTCTGAATGGCACAAGGAGAGGCGGGGCTTGGCGACTCAGTTCAGACCGGGTTAATTGTTGTGAGAGGCCTCTGGGCAGACATCCAATAGGAAACTGGTGTGCAGGTGTGAGGGCTGGCCTGGTGGGGTCCACATGGCCTGGCTAAGGTGAGAGCCACCAGCCTATGGCTTATGGCTGAGGTTAGACTTAGACGTAAGGCCCTTTGGAGAAGAGCTGCCAGGGAATGGAAGAGGGTTGGGAAGGGCAATCAGAAAGAGAAAACAGGCCACCAAATGCAACACAGCCAATGTCACCCGGCTAGCCACTTATGCTCAGACCAAGAAGAAGGAAACAGACATAGCCAGTCACTGGCAGCACGGCACGTATCTGTGATCTCAGAAATTCGAAGGTGGAGGGAAGGGGATAAGCCTGGGCTGCAGAGGGAGGCCCTTGAGGAGGAAGAGGAGGAGATTAAGACAGGGAGAAGGAAGAGAAGGGCAAGGAGAATGAGATAGGGAAGGGAAGAGGAAGATGGATGGGGAAGAGGGAGGGTGAGAATGGTTGGGGGAGGAGAAGCAACTGGGTTCTCCTGTCTGAGCCCGAGAGACAAATGGGACATGTCCCATACGATGTCTCACAGCAGGAGGGGTCAAGGAGCCTGCACACTCTCATCCCAGTCCACGTTGTTCACCTGTCTCCTGGGACCTGGTGTGTCCCAGGATGGTGCATTAAGACACAGAAGTCACCAGGCAGTGACTCAGGGAGTCAGCAGGCCAGCGGGGGTGGTCTTCCAGGCTGGGGCACCTCTGTGGCTACTGGGGACCTTCCTACTCACTTTCAACATGGCCCAAGAGTGGCCTCGTCTACTTCCCCCAGGGCTTAGTACAATATTACACTCAGTAGTAATTTCCTGGGCACCAAGGATGGGCTGGACTAGGAAGGAACTGGAAAGGAAGACACGGCCATGGGCCATTTTGGAAGGTTGGGTAACAGTGACACCTGGGAGTGCTGGGAGCACCCAGGATCTAGGTACCTGAAGCACAGAACTAGAAAGCTGGAGAGGTTAAGGAGCTTGCCCAGGTGAGGATTTGAGGCAAGGCAGCTGAGAGATCTTGGATGAACCGGAGCACTTGGCCTGTTCCCACATTCTGCTCCTGCACCATAGAACAGGCACTACCTAACACACAAGGACCTTGTTCTCTTGTGCCCCAGAGCTCCGTGGAGTGGGGAAATTTGAATACCCAATAAGTAAGCCTCCTGCTTCGCCGCTACTAAGACCTTTCTGCAGGAGAGGTGACCCTTACCAGTCCTTCAAGGAGGCAGGAGCATGGCAGAGGACAGCTTGTCCTGGGTAGGGCTGTCAGGGGGAAGCAAAGTTCCCTACAGCCATGAACAGGGACTCACAGAGGAGCTGGAGATGGCAGCAGGGAGGGCCTTTCAGGCTGGGCAGGCAGTGAGTGTAAAAGTCTGGGGACATGAAAGCGGACAATTTCAAGGAACCTCAGGAAGGTATCCATGACCAGAACACAAGGACATGAGGCAGAACAAGGACAGAGGAGGCCGGACACATTCAAGTCCTACACAAGGGATTGTGATGCCTAATGGAAAAACCTCAACTTTTCTGTCAGGTAAAAGAACCCAGAAGTGTTTGAGGGAGCGCTGGTGTCAGAAGACATAGTGGGGCCAGATAGGGCCTGGACCAGCACTGTGAGCTGGACCAGAAGAGACCTTGTGGGCCTCTCCCCATCCTCTGACTCCTCCCATCCCTCTGGCATTGGAGACAACCTAGTACTTATGTCATACGGGTCAGGAGATCCCTCTGTGACAAGCAGGATCCTTACAATCCCACCAGGGCAGGGATACTGGCACACTGCCTCCCTAAGTGCCCAGAATGGTACCAGGTACCTAGTCGGCTCTCAGCAGTTACCTCTGCCCATGACTAGCCGGCACGCTGGTAGAGGCAGAGCGAGTGGGCTGCTAGCTTGCTGGGTTGGCAAGAGGCAGTGGTGTGGGGGTAGGGAACCCACTACACCTCCTGAGCAGCTGTCTCCTTGGGCCCCATTCATGGTCGACCCCAGGCTCCATGCACAAGGGAGCTACAAGTGGTGGTCAGCTTGGGGACCCAATCCGCAAGAATACCGAGAACTGCAGGCTCATGGTATCTCATCCGCAGTGGGAGCTGGCATGTGGCTATCGGAACTAAATTCCCCAGCTGCCCTTGAAGTGACCCTGTTTAGCTTTGGACACGTGTCCACAAGTTTCTAGAAAGGACTGTTTTATGTACTGTCTCCTCTTCCCTATCTTTGCTGGTCTGGTACTAAAGAGGGCGCTGGAGATGCTCGATCTGGTGACCCTAGGACCTGGGCCCACGACTCCATGAGGGGCAGAGAAGGGGAGCTGCCCCTCTGAGGGCAGAGGAGACACACAACCCTACTGGTCATCACAGGCATCATCTGCACCCCAAGAAACAGGAAGGGACCCAAGCCTCAAGCAGCCGCAGTTCCTAGAATAATCAAGTTTGTGTGTCTGTCAGTCTTCTAGGAGAACGTGGGATCAGGGGGACTAGAATCATGTCACATCCAGCACCCCTTGGTAGCTATGGAGGCTCATTGTGATCCCCGCCCCAGCACTAACTCCTGCTGCCACACAGGCAAGCCTCTTCTGACCTTTGACCTGCAGAAGTCCCATCATTTTTGCCAGCTCTCATGCACCCTTTGCTCCCACCTGGGTCTCACCAGTCAGACCCGGCTCTGGGGTCTCTCAAGTGGTTCACATGGAGACTTGCTCCCTAGTGCTTGTTTCTGTTTGATCCAGGGGACAGACTCTAAGCTCTGTCATTTGGGTTCTCGCATGCAGACGGCAGCACAGACCTGGGCTCCAGAAGAGACACCGAGCAAGGGCTGGCTGAAAGAGGTGGCCGAGCTTGGGGGACACCAGGCCTCACTGTTCCTATCTGTACAATGTCCGCTTTGCCGAAGATAGATCTAGGTCATTCTTGAGCTCTAGCGGATTTACTGAGCATCTAGTATGGGTACCAGCGCTGTTCTGCCTCCCAGGGATGCAGCTGTGCTCCAAAAGACCAAAAACACCTTGGGCAGGCACAGCAGAGAAAGAAACAGTGAATAGTAAAGCCCCCGCCGGCCGCCCCCCCCCGCTATTGTGATATATCAAAGGGCTGTGCAGAAAATTAAGTGGAGTTCTTTAACAGAGCCAGGGCTCTTTAAACCTAGCCCTGAATAAAGACAGGAAACACGGGTTGATTCTGTCTGGACAGCAGATGGGAAGCCACCTCTGACTGCAGTGTGGATCCAGGAACACAAGCCTAGTCCCCGGGACACCTGTGCTCTCAGGACTCTGCCGCCCACTCATCCTGTGGGCCATTGGCCCCATCTAAGCCACTCCCCACTCTGAGCCTTAGAATTCTCAGTGCAGACGACAAAGCCAAGTGCAGGAGCCTGGGTCTGATGCACTGACACCAGGAGACCGGAGGGACAGCCTCTTACCACCCCCACCGCCCACCCAGACCTGCTGGGATCAGTGAGGAAGTCTGGGAGGGGATGTGGGCAACTCTCACCTCTCCGATCGCAGCTGCTGGGCCAGGGCCATGGCTGTGGGTAGTCACGAGGGCAGGTGGGCCAGGGCCTTACCCAGCCAGGCCCAGAACTGAGTTCACCTCTCACTTCCTCCTGTCTGTGTCTGGGAGCCACCCGGGGCTTGGGGGAGTCTCCCCAAGCAGTCTTTGAGGAGGTCCCTCCCTCCCCAGCTTCTCTGGACACTCCCTGAAGTACCTCCTTCAGGCTCTGAACTGCCTGGCCCCACACTTCTTCTCACCCACTTCCTGGCTGCATAGCACTTGAGGAACTGCTACTCTTGGGTTCTGGGCTTGTGTGAGACCAGGGCTTCGGGGACTTCCTCAGTGCCTGCCTCTGGTGCTAAGCCCCACCCACCAGCGGAGCACTTTCAGCTCTGTTAGTCCATTAGGGAGCCCTGCGACCCTGGAAACTCATTGTTCATTTTCATGTCTTGAGCCCCTTGCCCAGGCTTCCAAGACGTGCCATCCCTAAGGTCTGGTGGAGACACAACTCCTGGCGGGAAGCTCTCCTGCTTCCCCTTCTTCCATTATTCAAGGGTGTGAAGGTTGACTTATGCCCCATCTTGATCTCATCCTGGTGCTCGGGGCTTTGAGATCCCACGTTCAGCTCTGCCAGAGCTGCCAAGCACTCGGAAGCTCTCCTTACAAACTGCCTCCACCTCCCCGTTCTGCTCTCAGAAGAGCCCCAATCCTCAGTTGGCCTCAGAATCCCCAAGGGCCGGCAAGTTGCCTCATCTCCCCCAGCTCTCTCTAACCTTACTGCCTCCTCATTTCCCATACTCCCTTTTGGCCTCCTGTAGGTCTCAGCTGGGAAGTTGTCCTTTGAGTGACAGGCGCGTCCAGTCCAGACCACGCCTCCTTTTTCACTCTTAGGGTGTTTCCTGCAGCAAGCCCCTCTCAGCTGTGTTCCCTGTGTATTTGTGAGCCAGGCAGCTTCTTCCAGGCCAGTGCCATTCTGCATACTCCCAGACTATGTGAGCACAGTTTCCTCTAATGTACAGGGACCTTGGGCTCTGCAGGGAGCTCTCAGGGAAGAAGCCTGCAATGAGGATGGATCCTGCAACCCAGCCTATGTGTCCTGGCTTAAAATTGGGATGGAGAGCTGGGATGGAGATGGAGAGCCCTTGCCCCGCAGGATGTCCATCCCTCCTAACTCCCTGTCCCCTGATAGTTTCACTTGCTGGAGTGTACAAAAAGAGAGCAGTCTGCTACGGTGTCCCTGGCCATCACTAAATACGTGAGCCTGAATCCTGTACCCCTCCTGCCTGAACCAGTATCATATCTCCCCAGCTTGGAGAGGCACTTGGGACAGGGCCCCTGCTGGGGAGTCTGGAGCCACCCACATGTCTCACCTTAAGTAGGGCTGGGTTGGAACCAATCTCAGACCCCTCAGGTTCTGACTCCAAGAATACAGAACTACTGGCAGCCCAACCCCTTACTTTGAAATGCCCCTCTCCATTCTGCTACCCCAAGGGACCTTCTGATCCTGACTCAGCCCAGAGTGGATGAATCCAGCATCTCAGGATAGAACCTGTCCAGTAAGAACTTCCCTTCACATGGCCCTGCAGGGCATGGGCTCCTGGGGAGATGGAAGTGACGTTGGAGGGGACAGAAAAGGGGAAGAGGGGCATGCCACCAGTGGCTGCGTGTTTGTCAAGGTATTTGTGCTGCAGAGATAGATCAAGGTGACAAGTGGAAGGCCCATCCTACTCCAAGCACAGAAAAATGCTGGTCTTTAAAGCATACTTATAAGAGTCCTGTTCAAGACATGGCAAGGCGATCTTCAGGTTCTAAGATGGGGTAGGAATTACACCCATGACTGGAGCTAGAGACTTGATCACCAGACCTTGGGAGCAACGCGCACATGTGCTATTCGAGAGGAGTCTCCAGTGACTGGCTGGAGACCAGGTGCAGGCCACAGGTCCTGCTGCTGGCAGGAAGTAGACCCTTGATATGCCCAAAGCTGCAAAGTCCCTGCAAAAGCCAACAAGGTGACCGAGTCCCATATGTAAAAGCAAAGAGCCTTTATTTTAATCAAGTTTGCAAAACTTGGTCTCTCTGCATGTCCAATGTATTGGAATAAATGGAGAGCCCTGAGCTCAATTAGAAGAGGGTTTTATAGTAGTAAAGGTGGGGATGAGGGGTTTCTGAGGTTTTAGGACCCTTGATTGACTGACATTTATCTAGGGGTGTCCTGGTGAGTGTGTTCTGGCAGGTAGTCCTATCTACAGCGGTTGAAATGTTAGGCATTTCCTTTGAATGGTCTGCTCTTGGGTGGAGGTTGGGTAATCTCAGCTGTGATTCTTCCTGCTACCCTGGATCAGGGTAAACTACTGAGACTCAGGCCTCTTATTAAATTTATTGATGGCTGAGTTCTACTCTGGCATGTGGTAATAGTTGGAAGTAAAGAACTTCCTTTGGGTGACCTGCCCATACTCAGCTTATCATGGCTGGCTCCCACACCCTGAGCTCCCATGAGGAGCTGGGTGTCACAGCAAGCATTGAAAAGGATTTCTCAGCTGTTGGCCTGGGTGCCTGTGGGAGCCGAGGAACCCTTCCAGGCAACGGGTGGAGGGAGGGAGTTAAAGTACTAGGTCAGAGCATCAAGCCTGAAGCCCCCACTGGTGTGAAATCCAGAGAAAAGCTGGCCCTGAATTGTGCTGTGGAAGCAGTTTGGAGTCAGCGCAACACAAAACTGCAAAGCAGGCGCCTTGGGCTTCAGAAGAATTCACACCTGAGGAGCTAGACAGACACGGACTCTGGCTCAGGACTCAGGACTCAGACATCGTGGCTTTAGGAGGAAAGACTCAGGGGAACCGGGAGGGACGCAGTAGAGGAGGGTATCTCTGAACACAGAGGTACAAGCTTGGCCCAGGGGCAGCAGAGTGTTGGTCAACAGGTGGTCAGGAAACAGGAAATGGTGACACTGCTTCCACAAGACAATGCCACACAGCACTAGTGAAAGACTGTGTCACAGCCTACATGCTCTGGCTTAAAATGTGTTTGTTTGGGGCTTGGATGGAGAGCCCTTGCCCTGCTTGGGTGAAGCCCTGGGTTCAGTCCCAGCACCAAATAAAGCAAGAGTGAATATTGGAAGCCCAGCCCTGGGGAGGGCTGAAGTTCAGGGCTCCCTTAGTTCTGTCTCAAGTCCAAGGCCAGTTTGTGCAGAGATAGTGCAACTGTGTGGGCAAGGGTTAGGGTTCTTTCAGAGCCTCTAAAAGACCCTCTAATGTGGAGAGTGGTGGCCTCACAAACAGAAGATAATGCTCTTCTCTGAGAGAGTCTTGGTGGTGGCCTATGTCAACAGACAGACAGATGGACAAATGTGGAGAGTGGTGGCCTCACAAACAGAAGATAATGCTCTTCTCTGAGAGAGTCTTGGTGGTGGCCTATGTCAACAGACAGACAGATGGACAAACAGACACATACACACATACACAATGGCAGTTTGTCCTCCTACAGGCCAACACACACTCTCTAAACCATTTCTCATTTATTTTCTTTTTGGCTCTGTGTGTGTGTGTGTGTGTGTGTGTGTGTGTGTGTGTGTGTGTGTGTGTGTGTGTTAGGGTCTCACTCTATAAGCCAGACTAAATTGGAGCTCATTATGCATCATACAGCCTAGGCTGGCCTATAATTTGAAGTAATCTTTTTTTTTTTTTGAAGTAATCTTTTACCCCACCCTGGAGTAATGCTAGGATTACAGGTGTGAGCCACCCCACAAGGCAGGACATTTTCTTTTTGGTTGTCTTTTGGTTTTGAGACAAGGTCTTACTATGTAGCCCAAGATCTCCTCAAATTTGACATTCTTCTGTCTAGGCCTCCCAC